GAGTGGAGGGAGAAGTCTGGAGAGCAGGGCAAGTGGAAGAAACTTAACAAGTGGGCAAAAGTAAATCCGAACATGCAGCAATATAAGCAACTAGGCCCACAGGTAAAAAACAAAGCCAGGCAGACACATTTACCACAGGGCCCAGCAATCCCACTCCTCAGTGGTTTACTTTACAGAAACAAAAACCTGTACGCTGAAGTGTACGAGAGCTCTGTCCACCATTACCAAAAGCGGGAAACGACTCAGATGCCCTTCAACAAGTGCAGAGCTAACCAAACCGATACATGCGCCCACCCACAGCAGCACGGATGAATCTCAAAAACTACGCTGAACAAAAGAAGCCAGAGGAAACGGTTTGTACTGTATGATTCCATCTGTGGTAAATTCTAGCAAACACAGAAAGCAGACCACTGAGGGCCAGGGGCCGGGGCTGGAGGGAGGGGTTGACAGCAAAGGGAGGTGGTGAAAATGCTGCATATCTTGATTTTGATGATGGTTACAGGACACTTAACAAGACTCATTGTATTGTGCACCTCAAAAGAGTGAATTTTACTGTATGTAAATAATGCTTCAAGAAAGCTGATTTTTAAAAAGATGAGGATTGTTAGACTGGACCAAACAAAACTAAAACCCAACTATACGCTGTTTCAAGACCCAAAGACACAAAAGGATTGAAAGGAGATTAGAGAGGGATTCATCGGGCTCCCACCCCTCTTCCTGCAGCCCTTCTTCTCGGGTGGGGTGGTCTGTCAGACTCCAGGAGGCCGCCCTTGTCCAGGTGACTGTGCCCATCGAAGGGCCCCTCTGCCCCCAAGCCACCAGAGCAAGCAGCTAGGAGTGGAAAGGCGGCTCACTTCTTGTTCGAGGTCAGTCCCTCTCGCTTCTCCTGGGACGTGCTCTGCCTGTGGACCTCTCTTGTTCCCACTGGTCCCTCCATCTGGGCACACGGAAGTGGGAGAATGGTCTTCGCAGCCACACAGAAGCAAGTTCAAATCCCAGCTCTGCCATTTACTTCCTGGGTGATTTTTTTAAACATTTTTAAAATTGAAATATAGTTAATATACAATAGTAATTGGTTTCAGATGTACAACATAGTTATTTGGCAATTACACACATTACTAAATGCACACCATGTGGTAAATGTGGTCGGTATGTGTCAACATATAAAGATATTACAATATTGTTGACTCTAGCGCCTATTGTACTTTCATCCCTGTGACTGATTTATATTATGGTTGTGATTTTGTCTCTTTATCCCCTCCTCCTATTTCAGCCCCCCACCTGCCATGAGGACCACGAGTCTATTCTCTGTGTTTATTAGCTTATTTCTGTTTGTTTCTTTATTTTTTTTTTATTCCACATCTAAGTGAAATCATATGGTTTTTGTCTTTCTCTGTCTGACTTATTTCACTTAGCATAATATCCTCTAGATTCATCCACGTTGCCCCAAATGGCAAGGTTTCATTCTTTTTATGGCTGATCAATATTCCATTGTATATATGTACCACCTCTCTTTTATCCATCCATCTATTGATGGCCATTTAGGTTGCTTCCATATCTTGACAATTGTAAATAATGCTGCAATAAACATAACGGTGCGTATATTATAACAGAATGACAAAACTTGACATCTCTGCCTTTATATTGTATCTGTCTCCTTTGTGGCCTTAATTTTTGGGTCAAAAAGCTTCTGCTCAGCCCTGCAGTCCTGCACATGGGCTTGTTAACCATCAAAAGGAATTTTGCTCATGATTTCGGATTGGTGCAACCAGCCCCCGACCCAAACTTGCCTCCCCCTAGGAGATAAAAAGCACGTATAGAAATGATGACTGGATGGTCAAGGACTTACAGGAACATGATGGCCAGACCCATTTCAATGAACTGACTGGAGTCAGCCAACCAAGGACAAGGAGCTTCACAACCCTCCTTGCTGAGTCCAGATGTCTGAGATCCATTGTCACTTCCTGTCTTCAACCATCCCCTGTTTCTCTCTTTCCCAATGTAAAAGAAAGCTTGAAAGCAACCCTAAGTTAAGGTGGCGCTTTAGGGCATCAGCCTGCCATCCTCTCGTTCTGCTGGCTTTCCAAATAAAGTTGCTTTCCTTGCCCCAACCCCTTGTCTCTTGACTTATTGGCATCTTGTGCAGTAAGTGGCATGAGCTTGGACTCGGTGACAATATATTTTCAAATTAGTGATTTTGTTTTCTTCAGATAAATTCCCAGAAGTGGAATTACTGGGCTGTGTGGTACTTCTATGTTTTAGTTTTTTGAGGAAATTTCATTCTGCTTTCTGTAGTGGCTGCACCAATTTACAATCCCACCAGCAGTGTCCAAAGGCTCCCTCTTCTCCATATCCTTGCTAACACTTGCTATTTCTTGCCTTTTGGATGGTGGCCATTCTGACTGTCGTGAGGCGCCAGCTCATTGTGGTTTGGGTTTGCATATCGCTGATGATTCGCCGTGTGGAGCATCTTTTCATGTCTGTTGACCATCTGTATGTCTTCTTTGGAAAAATGCCTCTTCAGGTCCTCTGCCCACTTTTAAACTGGATTATTTTTCTTTTTTGGTGTTGAATTGTATGAGTTCTTTGTGTATTTTGGATATTAGCCCCTTTGCAGCTATATCACATACAAATAATCTCCTGTACTGTAGATTGCCTTTTCATTTTGTTCATGGTTTCCTTTTCTGTGCAGAAGCTTTTGTTTGATATGGTCCCACTTTGTTTACTTTTGATTTTGTTTCCCTTTGCCTGGAGAGTCGTATCCTTCTGGGGGATCTTGGGTAAGTCACTTGATGTGTCTGAACCTCAGTTTCCTCATCTGTGAAATGGGCACAATAACGATGCCTACTTCCTACTGATGGCCCGAGGAGTGGGTGAACAGAATGCAGGTGGGATGCTCAGCACAGCACCTCCTGGCTGCATGACGGCCTCTCTGGGCCATGGGCTCTTCACTTCGAGAATGAGGATAATAAACTTCAGCACAAGGTCACATGTGGGCACAATGAGCCTATGAAGAGGAGGAGACTTCCTGGCTGTGCTCCCTGGATACCTTCCTTGAGTTCTTTGGGCTTCAGTTTCCTCATCTGTAATATGAGCTAATGATTGACCAACCTGGGTTGCTGTGCAAAATAAATGTGGTAATACACAAACTGTCCTTACAACAATGCCTAGAACAATGCTATTTATTTCATGTACTGAGTAATGAGTAAGAGTATAATAAATGCAGACTGAGCCCATCGTCATGCCCTCAGCAGGAGCATCCCGAATGGCTTCTAGCCCCATCTTACTTTATTGCTACCATTATTGTCACAGTGATCAGCATCAAGCTCTACACTGCACAGGCATTTGTGGGAGTTGGGGCTGGAGGAAGGGGGATGAGCGGAGGCAGGACTATCACAGGTCAGATCAGAGTAGGTAGGAGGCATACCACACCTCAGTGCCTCATGGGAAATAGCACCTCTTGAGCACCCAGGCCCACCCTCCACCCCCAGCTGGGGTCCCACTGACTGGCCTTGTGCCTGGGCTCCGCCTCCTCCCTGCTGCTGAAAGGGCTGGCCCAGTGGGACAAGAGCCCACCAGCACTTCGGCTCTGGGGCTCCTGGAACTAGAATGAATGGCCACTGGAAGCCCTGGGGGGTGGGGGCTCCCCTCGGCTCCTCTCTCTCCAGACTTCACCTGCATTCAGGGACCTAGTCTTTTCCCTGCTCCTTTTGAAGAACCGTAGACACACTGCTATCCAGACCAGCCCTGAGGGCAGGTGGGGCCACTCCAAGCCTCCCCTTCCAGAGAAAACCGAAGCTGGCATGGGGATGGTCTCATGGGGTAGGGACTGCAGGCCAGGATGTCAGGGCCCCACCCATGTGGGCCCCCACACGGCGTAGAGGGTCTCAGGAGACTGAGCTGAGGGCCCCGGAACGCTTCGTTGGGCAACAGGCATGCCCATAAAAATACCGTGGGCACCAGGGCTGCAATCTGCCATCTGGGCCCTAGGCCTTCCTTGCCCTGCGGCCTGCTCAGCTCACTCCGGAATTCCAGCGCCCTCCGTCTTGCCTCGGAGGTCACGGCCCGGAGCCTGGGCGGGCGGGGTGGGGGGCTCTGGGGAGGAGTGCATTCCCCAGGCTTCCAGTCCAGGGCTGAGGGGAGAATGAGGCCGCAGAGAAAGGTCGGGATGGAGAAAGCCCCACGACAAGGAAAGCTGGCAGGGAGTCTGAGGAAGATCTGGGCATCTGGGCTGGCAGCTCAAGGGGCGCCATCTCCGAAACCTCCGCGCCCCTCTGCTTGTCCCTGGTGGGTTGTGATCGAAGCCCGCGCATTCCTCCCGGACCCGACGCCTAGGATTCGCGGCAGGGGAGTGGACTCGGGGAAAAGCCCAGCGAGTCAGGAATCCTGATCCTTGGTGGGGGACGTCCGAACACCCCACGAACAGGGCGCGGCCAGGACCGCGTCGCGTGTGCTGCCTGTCGCTCGCCAGCGTCCCTCGAGAGTCGGATGTGGGGGTGGCGGAATCTCGCTCCCCACCAGACTCCTCTCCACCGTCCGATCCCGCGCCCTGGGAGCACCCCCAAAGCGCGATTCGTGCCCCGAGCCTCCACTGCAGCGCGGGTGCCCGGGACTACCGGGCGGCGAGGGTCCCAGGAGATCCAAGAGGGAGGTGCCGGGGCTTCACGGCCCGTCCCGGGCTCGGCAGCCGGCTGGGCCGGGCCGAGGGGCGAGGGCGCGGCAGGGCGGGGCGGGCGGCCGGGTAGGTGATCTCACTGCCTCTCACCCCGCCTGCCCTGCGCTCCCCTCCCCCTCCCCTGCGCGCACGCCCGCCCCGCCCCTGCCCCGCCGCCGCCGCAGCAGCATCGGCATCGCAGACGCGCTTGGGCGGCGGGTCCGTGGCCGGCGCTCGCTGAGCCTGGGCTAGCAGGCGGAGCGGCGGCCGCAGCGCAGGTAAGGCGGGCAGGCCTGCCCTTGGCCCCGGCCGCGACCGCGACGCCCCGCGTCCCCGGTCCAGCCCTGCCTGCGGGCGCGAGCGGGGAGCGCCGCCCGCCCGGCTAGACCCGCGGTCACCGGAGGGGCGGCCGGAGCCCCACCCAGGCCAGGCACCGGCTCCCAGCTCAGCGAACGGGAGCGGGCGGAGGCAGGAGGCCGGGGGCAGTAGCCTGACAGGTGAGGGGTACCTGGGCGGCACCCAAAATGCTGACCTGGTGAGGAGTCAGGCAGGGTCGCTGCGGGCAGGTGGGGGTGGAAGTTGGCCGTTCCCTACGTGTGTGAGAAAGAGACCGGCATGCGGCCGAGTGACCTGGCCGTCCGCCGCCTTGGGGTGTGGCCCTGGGCGTGCCTGCCCCCTTTTCCCCAGTCGAGGGCCCTATTTGGCTGAAAACCCGGCCGCCGGCTTGCTGGAGGTAGGAGGTGGGGGGGTTGAGCTAGGCTGCGGGGGAGGGGAAGAAACGGCTGGGCGCTGCCCGGCCTTCCGCCCCAAGGGGTGGGGGGCTTTGTTCTCTCTCTTCTTTCCAAACGCCACCCCGGACCCCCCTCCAAGCCTACACCGGGACCAGGGTCGCCTCCCCCAAGGCACAGGGAGCCTGGGTTTGTGCAGGCTCTTGTGGCTGAGAAAGGGTGCACTGAGTGAGGTGGGCCTGGGCACCCACCCACGTGTGGCTGTGCGCATGGCGTAGAGTATGGGTCCATCCGATAGGGGTGAGGGAGAGAGGGTCTTATTGGCTTAGGGCCAGGGAGTCTGGAGAGCAAGATGCTCAGGGCGCTGGCCCCGCCCACTGCAGGTCTTTTGCCCACGGCTGAGTCTTCCTGCCTCTTTGGTTGGATGTGTGTGCAGGGTGTCTGCAATTCTTGTTCCCTGCTTCCTAGGCCAGATTTGGGGGTTTCTTAGTTGGCAGGGGTTGCAAAAACCAGCTAGTACAACCTGCTGGCCCCTACAGAGTATCTGGAGCCTCGCCCATCACTGCCTGTGTCTGGGAGGCAGGCCCAGGGCCATCTGCCAGCCCCAAGGAGTGGGGGCAGCGCACCCCCACTCCAAGCAGGTGCCTTGCTTCCAGTTAACTCCACCCAGAGGACAGGGGTTTCTGGGCAGCCCAGTGCCATCTCTGCTGACTCACGTGGCCCTGGTGGTGAACAACCCGGGCACCCCTTCCTCCCAGGAACTGCTGCTGCAGAGCCCCATCTTTCTTGTCCCCATGGGGTGGCTGGGGCAGGGGCTGCCCCGGGCCCCTCGCCTCTGAGCAGCTCCTTGCTGCAGGCGGTGGGCCTCTCACCTGGCACAGAGCCCATGCAGCACCTGCGCAGGCACCATGGCTCCTGAGGCTCCAGGGCTCCCGGCTGTTTATGGGTATATAGTGAGCCTCCCGCCAGGGCTGGGCATGAGACTCCATGCCCGGCTCCTGGCCACTTACCTTTGCAGCATCCTAGTCTTTCTCATTCTCTCTGTACTTATTTCTGTCTCTCTGTGTGTGTAATCCCCAAAGTAGTGCATCTTATCCTATTGTGGTACACTTGAGATATACAGAAAAGAACAAAAGAAATTAAGGAACCCTGATGACCTGATCAAGAGAAACCTGTTCAGCACACCCCAGCCTCAGTCTCCCTGGTTTGCTACAAGCTGATACCCAGTGCCCAGCCCCAGCCCCCTGCAGACCACCTAGCGCCCTGAGGTGGTAGGATCCCCTCCCTGCTCAGGAGCTCAGTGGCCCATGGCGGGTAGGCAATCACTTGGGCCAGACTACCCGTGGAAAAGCCAGGAGCAAACTGGACCAAAACTGTCTTTGTCCTCAGGGGGTGCTGATTCATTTTCTTTTTTCCTTTGTGATTATCTGAAAGGGAAAGGGAGGCAGAGAGTGAGGAAGGGCCTTCTCTGAGGCCTACTCCAGGGGGCAAGGTCCCCTAGGCTGTGCTTCCATCCGCTTCTTTCTGTCACTGGGGTGGGTGCCTTCCGTGGCATGCACTTGAATGAGACCATGTGGAGGGTGGAGGAGGCAGCTCCCTGTGCCACGCCTGCGGTTCCCCAGCTCAGTGACTGGGGACCCTCAGTCCCTTCCCCACTTTGAGACTTGGCCCTTTGGGCTATCACATGAGGGTGCAGACTCATTCATCTTCAGGGTCCCTTTCAAGACAAATGGTCCCTGGTGCCACTCTAAATGGCTGCAATTGGAAAAAACGTGTCTTGGGGTACTCTTCTGGACAGAGAGCACATGTGGCCTGGCAGAGCAGGCCATGCCAGTCCCGCAGTGCCAGGCCAGCCTCCATGAGAGCCAGGGCAAAGGTATGATGGAAGCTCTCCCAGGTCTTCCTCCTTGGGCAGAAGGTTGAAACAGCCCTGGGACGAGGAAGTGGGGAAGAATGGAGTAGAGTGGGGGTCCTGTGAAGAGTTCAGCCAAGATGACCATCCCAGCCAACTGCCCTGCTCCACCAGGCCCCCCTCTGAGGACCCCTGCCCCGCCCTGTGGTTCAGACCAGAGGCAGGCTGCTGTCATCACCTTGCCCCCTCCTCCCACAGTTAGGAAGGCTGGCGTGAGTTCCCTGGGTGGGGGCCACCTGGAATGGGCCCTCAACAGACCCTGCTCCCCAGCCTTTCTCCCTCCTGTTTGCTTTGGCCCGGCCTGGCCTGGCCACCCCCTTCTCCTCCTCGCCCTGTCCCCCACTCGCTCTTCCCTCACCAGCCACCTGCCTCTCCATGCCCCGTCCCCACACCGCTGCCTGCTTCCCTGTCCCTGCCTCTGCCTCCCCCAGCCCCCCCTGTGGGGGCCCTGGCCCCATCTCTCTGCTCCCCCTTTTGTCTGCTCTCTCTGGTCCCTGCCCTAGCTCGGAGCCTCAGCATGGAGGTGACTGCTCTGCCGCCCCATGCCACTGGCCAGTGGGCTCCATTCCTTTGGGTTGGCCCAGACCTCTTATGGGGGCCTTGTCTGGCCTGGAGGCTGGACAGGGAGTGCCCGGTGGCCACCAGTCAGAGGGCTGGGGCTGGACGTTTAAGGCCAGCCTGCCGTCTCTCCAGATGTCAATAGGATCCTTATGGCTTCCTAAAGGCTGTGGCCAGAGAGAGGGTGGAGTCGGGGGAGGTGGGAGGCCCTCTGCAGGGGAAGGGTCTGGACTTCTCATCTTCCCAGATACTTTTCTTTGTCCAGTGCCCCCCCCCCCCCCACTGGGGTCTTGCCTGCTGGCCTTGGCCATCCATGTTCTCTCCAGGTCCTGAAGCTGTGGAGAGAGCACCAAGCCACTGTCCTGCCACTCAGCAGCTCGTGCCAGCCTCTGGCCCTAAACCCAGCAGGGAGGGCCGGGTCACCCTTGGTGTAGGAGGGTGGTGGCATGGCTCTGTGCACTCGGCCAAGGGGGCTTTCTGAACCTGACCTTCCAGACGGCAGTCTGGTGGTAGAGCTTGAAGGGAGGGGTGAGTCCCCAGGGGCCGCTCCCCTGGGCTCTCCAGTCTAAAACATGCAGAGGCAGGCAGACTGGAAGAGGGCAGCCAGGTCTGGAGGTTTGCAGGGGTGTGGCTTTGGGGCTATGGGGGTGTGCATAGCTTCCAGTATTCCTATTTGCATGTGTGCATTCGCATGTGTACCTGTGTGGTCGTGAGAGAGCGTGCACAAACTAATCTTCCTGTGCACACATGTGTCCCCTCTGATGCCTTCCACAGGGCCTGCGCTGGGAAGGGCGGGGCTGATGGTAGGGGCTGTGGAGGCTGGCATGACTGAATGCATGACATAGGGCTCCCCATTGTGGGGGTGAGGGGTGACGGTGGGGGAGGGGATGGTAACCCTCTGGCTTCTCCCCTGGCAGCCTGCTTTCATGCCTTAGGAATGCCGAGGCCCTGGGGAGCGACAGAGACTCTATTGTCCACCCCTCAGGCTTCCTGTGCCCCTCTGTCCTTTAACCCTCTGGAATCAGAGGGCCCCGAGGGAGCCAGAGGGGCCTGGCAATGTCTGAGCCTTTTCCAGATGTCCCCTGCACTCCCTGCTGCCCTTGGGCCAGGTGTCCTAGGACTGGGTCTGAGAAGCAAGCTCTGAGGCATGGGGCCGTTTCCTCTTGCTGCAGACGGGGTCCCTCTCCTCTGCTTGGCACCTTCCCCGCGCTGCCTGCCTGCCCGCCCTGCTGCCTGGAGGCAGGCCCTGCTAGCCCAGAGAAGCGGAAGGTGCATCGTCCTCTCTAGCCTGGCCCCTGGAGCCCCGTCTAGTAGCAGGTTTATCTCTCAGGCCAGGTCTCTGGTCTTGTTCTGAACCTGCTTTCCAGAGCTGCAGGGAGGATAAAGGGGCCGCAGGAGCAGAGCTTTCAGGCTGGGGGAACCTGGCTGTGGCACTGGCATTCCAGGGGCCTGGGAGTCTGGAGTCTTGGCGCCTGCTCCACTGGGTCGCAGTTTCCTTTTCTGCACAAGAAGGAAGTCAGTGCTGTCCCTGAGCCCTGACTGGAGAGCGGGGCCTTCTAGGTAGGTGAGACCTCTTGGTGAGGAGGCCCTGTGGCCTTTGGTTTCAAGAAAGAAGTCAGAGTGACCCAAGATTCTCGATAGAAGGGAAGAGGACCAAGAAACCCGGGGAGTCCCCAGGCGTGATGGGGACAGGAGTTCACCTTGGACAGAGTCCTTGGATGGCGGGGGCTGTAAAGCCCAAGGCTGAGGAATGGGATGGTTCCTGCTCTGTGCCAAGGTGTGGTGTGGGTCACATCCTACTTCCACGTAGCCTCCTCCGCGAATTCTCCTCACTGCCCCATGAATTTGCCTGCCATCTGCCTAGCAAATAAGCCCTTCCCCAGGGGGCAGGACAGCAGGCCGGGCCCCTGGAAATGCAGGCAGGCACACATGCTGGGATGCTCAAGTACCCGAGAGGCGACCTGACTCCTCAGGTATCTCTGGCAGCTGTGGGAGCCTCCGCGCTAGTTCTGTGACCTTGGACACAGTGTTCCAGTGCTCAGGGGCTCAGTTTCCTCATCAGTAAAATGGGGATAATGTTAGCACCTCCTTCCCCCCTGGGGGTAATTTTAAGGATTAAATGGGAGGTGCGATCCATGAATTTATCTGATAAAACGGGGCAGCTGACTGTGACATAAGGGTGTGGGTGGGGTGGAGGAAACCTGGCAGGGTTGGGGATCGTGTGACCCCACTTCCTGCTCTCCCGTAAAGGGCTGGCCTTTGTCTCACCTCTTCCACATCCTGTAAGGAGAAAGATCCATCACAGGTGAGCTGTTGTTGCCTTGGAGATGGCAGCCTTGAGGGGGTTGAGGGCACACTCGCAGGGGTCCCTTTAGGGCGGGGAGAGGCGGGGAGCACGGAGCGTACCTGTGGGGACTCCCACCCAGCAGCCTCTTTTCCGTATAATCTAGGTGACCCATTAGGCCGTGGCAAGCTTTCCTCTCACTTGCCAGTGGAGGGAGCTGGGCTCCATCTCCATGGAAACCTGCCAGCCTCAGCCTGGGGGGAGGGCAAGGAGAAGAGTGAAAGGAACGCAGTGCATGGGGTGTAGGTGACACCCACACCCTCATATATACACCAACTGGCTCAAAGGCTCCCACCAGCCCTGCTGAGGCAGCCCAGGCCTGGGTGCTCCCATGCACTCCCCCCAGGCCCACAGGTATGTGGACCTGGCACCCACTCTGATCAGCTCACACCCCTGGGGCACCGAGCCCCCTGCCCTGCCCCTGCTCAGGCCTGCCGGGTCACAGGGCACTGCCATTGTCAACAGACATGGGGCTAGAGGGCCCTATTGCTGCTCCTCCCTTGGGCAGGTGCATTTTTACTAAACGGCAAAAGCAGAGCCCTCAGGAAGGCCCTGGCTGACGGGCTTGTGCGGAATGAGCACACGCAGGGCTCTTGGAGCTCCCGTGGTGTGTGTGTCCAGGGAGGAGAGCAGGCGATCCAGGTCTCAGCCCGGCCCCTCCTCCAAGTCTCCCCACCCCCAATCAGAGGAGGGAGGCCCGAGGAGAGGGCTCCCCAGGGGACACAGTGGGACAAGGGTAGAGCTCCCTCTGGGGTCCCACTGAGCCTCTCCCCGCAGGCTCCCGTGGGCCTGCGTGCGGCCACCTCGGTGCCTGCCACGCCCTGTCTGCCTGCGCAGGTGCAGTGTGTGGGGCCCAGGGGAGGGTGGGACGGCAGCGGGATCCAGTCAGCAGCAACAGGACACTCAATGTGGTGCATGTGGGTGCGTGGGCCCCTCCCGGCAGCAACCTTGGACGGATCCACTGGGGTCCTCTGGGCGCTTTTCCCTCCCCGCTGCAGGGGTCCCCACCTGCTCCCTGAGGGCCTCCCAGCAGTGGCTGCTCATTCATTATCTTTTGTGGCCGTCCCCCTGCCCCAGTGCCACAAGTAGCCAAAGACCTTCCTCTCCGGCTGGCTCTGGTGTCTGGCGTCGGGGGCTTTGTCTCTCGCCCTGGCTTACTCTCTGCGCGGGCGCCGAGCGGGCGCGCAGCGCTCCCTCCCCCCAGCTCTGGGCCATTTCTCATCAGCGCTCTCCGTGGCGCTCTCACCCTTTGTACTGCTCTGCTCTCTTCTCTTCCTTTCCCTGCCGCCTGGGTCTCTGTTCCCCATTTCTCCATCTTGGTTACCGTGGTGGTCCAGCGTCTGTCTTTGTCTCCTGTTCCCTGCCCTGCCTCCCTCAGCCCCACTTCTCAGCCTCTCCTCGCTTCCCCCTGCCTCTGTCTTGCCCCGTCTGTCACCCTGCCGCCTTCCCCAGCCGGCCCCCACCCTCACAGGCATGGCCTTGGCTCCGTCTGTACACCAGCTTGCGGAACACCCCCCCACCGCCCCTGGAGGTACTGAAGGAGGTGGGGAGGCCTGCCAAGCTGACAACCGGAGCTGCTTGTTTTGATTGCCTGAGGAATGGTGAGATCAGAGACCCAGCAGCAGAGCCCCCTTCCAGCTGCCAGGCCTCTCAACCTTCTTGAGTGCCCAGGAAGGTGGGGAAGGTGGCAGGCAAGCTGGGTGGCAAATACCAGGAGACTAAAAGACGTTGGATTTTACACTGTTGGGTGCTGGGATGGGGCTGAGAGTGAGGATCAGGGGGCTGAGGTTATCCTGTCTCCCCTGCACATACACCTGGGGTATATGCGCCAAACCCTTTCTGGGAGCCTGGTGTTGGAGAACAAGGGGAAGAGCTGGCACAGCAGCAGCTGTCATCCCAGCAAGCCAAGCGGAGTGCTCAGAGCACTTGCATCTCTTCTGCCTCCCTGCACGCAGGAAGGTCCTTCTTTGAGCTTTTCTGCTTTTCCTGGCCAGCTCATGTCCCTCCCTCTCCCTCCTGAGACCAGAGCACTTAGAGCTCCCAAGGCTGCTGTTTGATCACCTGCCTTCTGATCTGCGTCTCCTACTGCTTCCTACAGGCCTTGAAGTTGAGGCCAAGGCCACCTGGGGCCCACCCTGCTCGCAGTGCCTTTGTGGGGCAAAGCGGGGCTTAGAACAGGCCCACTGCTGCTTCTCCCTTGTGGGCCCCAACTCAGCTCTTGCGGGTTGGGAATTGGTCATCCATTTGCCACTTCTACCCTTCAAGCCATTCTCTTGACTTTCAGCGCATCCATGGTGACCCACCTTGGTGCTTCTCCATTTCCCTCAGTCCAAGAGCTCCAAATTGACTGCTGTTTGCCACCATCCATTCTCCTTCCCCAGTCCTCAGGCGGTCTGCCACATTCCCCACTCTTCTTGGGTCTGCCTTACACAAAACCAATTTGTGGTTCCTACTTGTCCTCTGACAGGGTCTAGATGCCTTAGCAGAGCATTCTTAGGCCTTCCTACCCATCCGTTCAGTGTTCTGAAAGAGGCTTGGGCCCTCCTTTGATAAGATTTTGGTTGGCACAGGGAGGAAGTCTGGTATGGACTTGGTGAGGGCATGCAGTCCTGGGCTCCAGCCTCCAAGCTCTCAGTCTCCCAGCAGTCTGCCTATTTATTTCTTTGCATGTATGTATTATGTCCCTAGAAAAAGAACCCCAGGACTTCCCCTCCTGTGTGATTTTCTCTCGCTTCTTCACGGTCCATCAGGCAGCGGAGGCTGTCAGGACAATGAAACCAAACTGACTCAACGGGAACAGGTTATTCTGCCATTTTTGTAGATCTTTGAGTTTCAAATCTGGGGCTGATCACTCCACATTTGTTTAACCTGCTGGTGAGGTTCACAAGTTTTCCAGGTCTGAGATCATCTGGTTTCAAATTCACTAATGTAACCATGCTGTATCATCATGTTAGAAACCAAATGATGACTTTGGAGCATGCCATAAGAAGAACCTGGCATTTGCCTTTCTTTTTGGCATTGTTGGTGTTCTTGAGAGTGTTAGCCAGGACATTCCTGCGCACTGTTGTGGTGGCACAGAAAGATGGCAGAAAGAGCCCAGCAACCTGCTCTTGCCCCTTCTGTATTTTCACCACTGGCCTCTTTTCCACACACACGCCTGTTTGGAATCAAGCAGTCTGTCTTCTTGGGGGCTTCCCTATCCATGACTAGAAGCCCCTCTCCCCTAGGCCCCCAGTTTTCAGGGCTCCTTGTGTGCAGGTGGAATGTGGGTATGGCCAGTGTCACTTGGGCTTGAGGTGGACGCATGTAGCAGTTGAACCCTGAAGACAGAAAAAGAGTCAAGCTGGGCCTGCCAGGCTTTCTAGAGGTGTCAGAAATACTGTCCCAGAGCTTTCCCTGACCCTGGCCTGTAACATCTGGAAGAGGGGAGGACATAGTTGCCTCTCGTCCCCCATCCCCTGGGGTGGGGGGCTCAGAGACAGCAGAGAAGTGCTTTTCTCCTTCCCTCCCTCCTGCTACTTCTTAAGGGCAGGTTTCCTTCTTCCTTCTTTTTTTCTTTTCCTTAACCTGTTCTTTGAAATGTCTCCTACTTGGGTCCCTTTCTTCCCTTCCCTATCCCTACTTCCCAAGTCCCCCCACCCTCTGCTAGCTTTTTAGGCCTGAACAGCAGCCAGGGATCAGTTAGCTCCGAAGTCCACAGCAATGACTTCGACAAGGTTTCTGCTCTGTGTACAAGTGCATGCATACATGCTTGTGTGCACACATAAAGATAGTGGGCACGAGAACTCATCCCCCACAGATATGGACACACAAGAAGACACACACACACTTCTGCATGCATGCAGCTGGCAGATCCATGTGTTGATTCTCCCGGGCACACACAGACACACACTGATGAGTGCACCAGAGAAGATACAAGTGTGCTCCGGCACATACACACACAACCACATAATACTGATGTACTCATTTGACTACATGCAGATCCACATCCACACTCATACTCACAGAAACCTGCTGGCTGGCACATTGAGTCACACATGGAGATGACATGCAGAGAGGCCTGTGGCATGCCCAGGGGAGCTAACTGGGGCAACAAGTTAGTGCCATACAGGCAGCTGGTGAAGAAGGCACAAAAAGTGGGAAGAGAATGAAAGGGAAGGTGGAGGCCTAGCCTGTGCCACGTGTCCAGGTTTCTCCTCCCAATGAACGGGGGAGGGATGGGAGAGCTGGCCAGCCGGGGGCGGGGCTGGGGGCGGGGCCAGGGTCCTGGGCTCTCCCAGATGTTAGTCACTAAAGTCCCTTCGTTCTCTCTCTTTCCCGACCCTTCCCTACCCTCCTTTCCTCTCCCAGTGCCCACACCCCTGGCTCCCGCCCCAAACCGCCCACCAGCCCCTTTGCGTCCGCCGGGAAGATGGCCGTGGCGCTGCGGTACTTGTGGCCCCTCCTCCTGTGCAGCCCCTGCCTGCTCATCCGGATCCCCGAGGAATGTGAGTAGCTGGAGGGGCCTTGGCGCCTCCCTTCGCCGCCGCGCTGGACTCCTGCGTCTTCTGCCTCCTCACTTTCTCCGGGCTTCGGACCCTCCCTCTTCCCCCTTCCTTTCCTTGTCTTGGAGTGGGCAGGAGGTACCTAGGGCGTTGGGTACCTTGAGAGGGCAGGGTGGGAGACGCGGAGTGCGTGAGCACCACGGACAGGGAACAGAGGCGCGGGCAGGCTGAGGTGGTTTCAGCACCAGGGACAGAGGGCCTGGCTCTCTAAGCCTCTTCGGGTCTCCGTGGTCTCCCTTGGCCCGGCCCGCCCCCGACCCCCCCGGGTGGGGTGGGCAGGAATGGGGCCGCCCCCAGTTCTCAGCTACCTTGCGTGGAAACCTGAATTCAAGTCTGCCTCCACTTCTGAGTTGAACAATTCCTTCTTGGGCCCTTGGTAACCATACCATGTCTGTGAACTGAGACAGGACAAGAAACTTTTTGAAAAGGCCCAGCAGCCTTCTGTATCCTTATGATTTGATGTATAATTTTTGGGGGGAGAGGGGCTGCTGGAGCATTACATTTGTTGGGGAGGTTCACGGTAGGTGTGCGTGTGTTCGGGAGTGTGGCTGGAGGGTTGTGACTGAACATGAGTGTTGGTTTATGCTTGTGAATTGGACAGACTGTATAATTTCTGTGTGTGGTTGTGATTCTAATGTGGATATTCCTGAGTCTGATTTTGACTTCCTTATGGGTAAGTTTCTGAGTCACTGTGACTCAGAACATTGGTCAGGTTTGTGAAGGTCTGCAGGTATTTGTTAACATTTGATTGTGGTGGGTCATATGTGCACATGAATGGGGCCATATGCGAGTAGCCTGTTTGAGTAGGGAGTGTGTGTTACTGTGATGGTGTCTTCTCTTGAGTGTGAACAGGTGTAAACACGCTGCGGTAAAGGGCATGTCACGGTAGCATTTGTGCATCTTGAACCTGCTCCTCAGTAGCTCTCATCCCTTCCCACCACACCTTGCCACCTTTGTCTCTGAGCCTGGACCCAGAGGAGGCTAGTGTCACAGACAGGAGCTGGGGGCTGGGGCTGGGGAAGGCTGTCCATGCCAGGAATGGGACAGGGGCTGGAGGAGGTGGGCTTGGAAGGCACCTGGCAGTAGGGGAGCAGCAAGAGTTTAGGGGAGGTGGAGTGGCACTGATGCGACAAGGGTTGGGGATGCCCCTTTAGATACACACATAAAAGTCCATGCAGTCACACCTATGCAGACCCCTCAGCAGCACGCACATGTGCATGAACGTGTGGGTAGACACAGATGAGCCGCCTGTATCCAGCCAGGCACAGAAATACAGAATGGACAGAGACCCCAAGAGGGTACATGGGAGGCACACAGATGCAGACACACACATGAAAATGAGGAACAGTCATGCACACAAACATGGGGGCAGGTGTACACTGACTGCAAACATGCACAGACCCTTCAGGCGTCCTCTGCTGAGACACATCCATAGGCAAACAGAGTGGCAGACACTCAAACATGCTGCTGCACACCTCGGGGCATCCACACAGGGGGCCTAGACTCACACCTTTGTACATTCTCAGTTGCTTTTCAGGCCTTACCCTGGGCATCAGCTTGCCCTGCTACCACATGGGCTGGGCCATCTGGCTGGCTCTGTCTGTGTGTAGACGGGCAGGGAGAATTCAGAGAAAGGCAGGAGTGAGGAGAGAGAAGTAGGCCAAAGACCACAGCAGCTCTGAGCCTTCCCTGGGCACTGGTAGGCACTCACTGACCCCGACACAGTGTGGTGGGTGGCCTGGTGCCTTCCTAGTAGAACCTGTCCTCCAGCTGGAGCTCTTCCCCTCCTTGGCTTCTCCAGGCCCCTTTGTCTCTCTTCCTGCTTTCTCCACCCAGTTGATTTTCCCCATCCTGTTGTCTCTGTCATTGGCTTTTGCTCTTGGGCTGTGTTCGCTGGCCCCTCCCAGTCAGAGCTCTCTGCAGTATCCCCAGGGAGCCCCTTCCTCTCTCCTGGGGTTCCTTACATTGAGGCCTTCTGCAGAGACAAAGCTTTCAGTGGCAGCCCATGCCCCCTGCCTGCCCTCTTCTCCCTCCTTGCAGCTGCCCTGGCCAGTGCTGGGGTGAGTTCTGCAGTAGGGGCAGTAGCTCTGGTCCCAGCCACACAGAGCTTGGCAGCAGCCTGGGAGGAAAGGAGGGGAGAAACTGGGGACTGGCGTCAGCCCTGCTGGCAATGGAAACTCAGGTGCAGTGGGGCCTTTGGGAGGATTTCTCGGGGAGGGGACAGCTGGGCTTTGAAGGCTGGGACCGGGTAATTGAAAACACTGAGCTGTACTAATTGGATTATGAGGGAAGTGGGCTGCAGCAGGGGAGGGCGCCGTGGCCATGGGCTGTCTGCCTCCCAGCCTTCCCAGGCATCCTGGATCATGTCGGAGTCAGTTTTCCAGATCCCGCCAGTGGGATGCAAGGGTCTGTGCAAAGGACACTCCGTGTTGAAGGCCCAGATTTCTTCCTGCCTGCTGGAGTGTTGGCCTGGTTCCCCTGGGCATCGCCTCTCTCTGGGTCAGGTGTTCAGGGCTCTGTCCTGTTCTTCTGGGTCTTGACTTGCCACAGCTCCAGCCCAGCAGGGACCCTCATGTTACAGGGCCGTGGCCTCCTCATCCGCCCTCCCATTCCCCAGGGGGTCTGCATACACTTACTTTTCTCCCTGCCACCTGGGGCTGCGTGTCAGCATTTCTCTCCACTGTCTCCCTTGCTGCCTGGATTTTGAAGATGAAGGACACCACGGTAAGTTGGAGAAGGGTGAGAGTGTCTCCCAGAAGGCCAGAGAGGGAAAGCAGGTGGCAGCATGTCCCCCTCTGCTTGTGTGCCTTGTGCCCTGTACAGTTGTCATGTTTTCTGGCTCTTGGGTCCTTGTCCTGGGTGCCTCAGTGTCCCCTGTCCCTTGTGGCTTTGTCATGCCTCTGCCCTGGCCAGGTTTTACCCGCTCACTCTTGCAGTTTCTTCCTGGCGCTCTGTTTTCCTCTCTGCTCCGCTCTCTCCCTGTGAGGGGCTGGTCCTTGGTCTCTGTCCCCGGCCCCTGTTGTCTTCCTCTCACACTCTGCCTGTATTCCTTCGTGCGTTCTGTTGCTGTTCTCTGTTGCTTCTGTCTCTTTCTACATCTGTGCTGTGTCCCTTTCTCTCCCTCTTTTCACGTCTCACACCTCTGGCTGAGCAAGTTGGTCTCTCTAGCTTGTCCTTCCTCTGCCCCCAGCCCCATGGCCATGTGGCGTCTAGGGGTTCCAAACCCTGCTTCCCCCGCAGTGGGACGGGGGTTGAGGCTGTGATGCCAGCCAGACACCATCCTCGCCATCACTCTCTCCAACCCATCCCCAGTGATGGAGCCACCTGTCATCACAGAACAGTCTCCACGGCGCCTCGTTGTCTTCCCCACAGATGACATTAGCCTCAAGTGTGAAGCCAGTGGCAAACCCCAAGTGCAGTGAGTGACGTTCACCGGCTAAGCCCTGTTGACCGCTGACCTCAGCCTCCAGTCCTCATCCTGCCTGTGGCCCCCCAGCTTCTGAATTCAGATGCCCTAGATGTCCCTCAACACCCTTGGTCCTTGCCCTGTCCCAGCCCATCCCCAGGGTCCCTGGCTGCCCGCACCCTTCCCGCCAGCCTATGCCAGCCCCTGTTGCTGGTTCCAGGGCTTTGAGCCTCTGAGCCCTTTTCTGCCTGCAGGTTCCGTTGGACTCGGGATGGCGTCCACTTCAAACCCAACGAGGAACTGGGTGTGACCGTGCACCAGGCGCTCCACTCCGGCTCCTTCACCATCACGGGCAACAACAGCAACTTTGCCCAGCGGTTCCAGGGCACCTATCGCTGCTTTGCCAGCAATAAGCTGGGCACTGCCATGTCCCATGAGATCCAGCTCATGGCCGAGGGTGCGAGGCGCCACAGGGATCAGGGAGGGCCTGGGGCACATCAGCCTGCAGCCCCCTTTGGCTCCACGGCCTCCTCCTCCTTCCTAGCCTGTCTCTTTCTCTGATGTTCTTCTGGTCAACCGCCTCTTGCTTTCCCATCTTGTTCCTCTGGGCTTTGCCCCACCCTGACCTCGAGGACTGAGGCTTGTTGACCTGCTTGGTCCCTCCCCAGGCCCCTTTCCAGCTCTGTGGGCGCATCTCCTTCCCCACCTCCCCCATGTCTCTGTCTTCTCTCCACCTCTGATCTGGCCTCTCTGTGTCCCTCCTCCCTGCCCTCTGGTTCTGTCTTTATCTGTGTCGCCCTTTCCCTGGGGTTTTTCCTCTGCCCTCCACCCTCCCTGAGCTTTCTGCTTCTCAACCACATGCCTCTCCCCTCTCTGCCCCTCTGGTTACCTTGGGAACTGTTGCCATGGTTTCTGTGTCAGGATGATGGAAGGGTCTGTGACTCCCACATCCTTCCACAGCTCCCTTCCCCCACTGCAGCACCTTAGCCTCCTCCCACCCCTCTTCATCCCTTCCTTCTCCTGGGGTGAGCGCTGAGAATTGCGGAGGGTTAACCCTTCCCACTCATCTGCTCCCCCCCCCCCACCTGTCTCCTCTGCATGGAGTGCTCGTCTCCACCTTAAGCCCAGAAAAGACCCGTGCCCTTTATGTGAACTTCCTCACCGCCAAGCCCTCTTGCTCCCTTGGCCAACCCTCTTCCTTCCACTGCCCTGCCCTACCTTCACCAAGAATGTTGGAACCCACTGTGCCAGCCTCTCTGTTTCTTCTAGGTGCCCCCAAGTGGCCAAAGGAGAATGTGAAACCTGTCGAGGTGGAGGAAGGGGAGTCGGTGATTCTGCCCTGCCACCCTCCACCCAGTGCAGAGCCGCTCCGGATCTACTGGATGAACAGCAGTGCGTGCCCACAAGGGGCTGCCACCTGTGGGGAGGGTGCCAGCGGGCACGTCTTCCTGGACAGCGGTCCTGACCTCTGCCTCCTTGCCCTCCCACCACCCACAGAGATTTTGCATATCAAACAAGATGAGCGGGTGACAATGGGCCAGAATGGCAACCTCTACTTTGCTAATGTGCTCACCTCGGACAACCACTCAGACTACATCTGCCATGCCCACTTCCCTGGTACCCGGACCATCATTCAAAAGGAACCCATTGACCTTCGGGTCAAGGCCAGTGAGTCCCAAACACTCTGATACCCACCCCCTCGTCTCTCCCAGGCACAGCCCATCTCATAGATCAGACAAACCTCAGTCTTCCTTGACTTACAGCTTAGCACCCAGCTTCTCCCTGCCTAGATCCCTTCACAGGTGGCAAAAACAGCAGTGGGGGACTCCATTTAACAGGGAGAGAAAGTGATGCCCCAGGGGCTTGCTGGGATGTCCAGGCCACCAGACCCTAACCTCATGGGGGAGGGAGGAATGGACTGTGCCACCCACTCCCTTTCTCTTCACAGCCAACAGCATGATTGACAGGAAGCCACGCCTGCTCTTCCCCTCCAACTCCAGCAGCCACCTGGTGGCCTTGCAGGGGCAGCCCTTGGTCCTGGAGTGCATTGCTGAGGGCTTGTGAGTCTGGGCACTCCGGGTGGGGGCTGGGTGGAGCAAGGCCTCTGCTGAAGCCGGGGCTGAGCACCTTGTTCTCCCTCCCTCTGCTCTCGTCCCTTGGCCTCCCTGCCCTGTGACCCTGGGCAGCCCCACACCCACCATCAAGTGGCTGCGCCTGAGTGGCCCCATGCCAGCTGACCGAGTTATCTACCAGAACCACAACAAGACCCTGCAGCTGCTGAATGTGGGGGAGGAGGATGATGGCGAGTACCGATGCCTGGCTGAGAACCCTCTGGGCAGTGATCGGCATGCCTACTACGTCACCGTGGAGGGTATGGCACGGGAGGGTATGACGACCCCCCCCAGCCTGTCCCATTGCACAGGCTTCCCAGAATGACCTCCAGGGACGGTGGTGTGCAATGCTCCCTGTCGCGGGGGCAGGCAGGGTCTGGGCCACAGGCTGTGGGCTCAGGGCAGCTCGCCCCTTCTCACAGCTGCCCCATACTGGCTGCACAAGCCCCAGAGCCGCTTGTATGGGCCAGGAGAGACTGCCCGCCTGGACTGCCAAGTGCAGGGGAGGCCCCAGCCAGAGGTCACCTGGAGAATCAATGGGATCCCTGTGGAGGGTGAGCAGACCCTGAGCAGGGGCAGAGAGCGTGGGGAGCCCTGGGGACTGCAGGGGAGGAAGTGGAGGGGGAGGAGTGGCCTCAGTGTAGGTCACTGCTGTGCCCTGGGCCCATGGGGCCCACCTGCTGCTCACACAGAGCTGCGCACAGACCAGAAGTACCGGATCCAGCATGGAGCCCTGATCCTGAGCAACGTGCAGCCCAGTGACACGATGGTGACCCAGTGCGAGGCTCGCAACAGGCATGGGCTCCTGCTGGCTAATGCCTACATCTATGTTGTCCGTGAGTGCGCCTAGTCTGTCCCTGTAGCCCGCCAGACAAGGCCACTAACCACCTTAGCCAGCAGCTGATTTGTCCACCACGGGGACCCTTCACCCCCTCTCTCGGCCAGCCTCTCAACAGTGGGGTAGGAGCCATAGAGGAAGAGCAGAATCTTGTCACCATTTGAAGGTGAAGCAGCCTCTGACCCTGGTCTGGCCCACCTGATGTCACTGGTGGAGGCTCCCCTGGTGAGGATGTGCCTGCCAGCCTGGTGGCCCCTCTCCCAGAGACCTGGACAGAGCCTGTCGTTGTGGTCTTGAATGATTGGTAGAACTTGGGTGCCTGGAACAGGAGGCGCATCTGAGACATGTCCGAAGGCAGAGGGAGGCTCAGATGAGGGCAGAGCAGGACACGGGGAAGCAAGATGGGTGGGCTAGAGTTAGGATGAGGCCTGAGAGTGCCTGGTGGGGTCACTGGCAGCTTTGAATCTGTGAGCCCTCCTGGGAGAGGCCCTCTCCCAGCCACATGTGGGTGCTTGCCCAACCCTAAGCCTGGCCTGTCTCCTGTGATCGCTCCTCCCCCAGAGCTGCCGGCCAAGATCCTGACCCCAGACAATGAGACATACATGGCAGTTGAGGGCAGCACTGCCTACCTTCTATGCAAGGCCTTCGGAGCCCCTGTGCCCAGTATCCAGTGGTGAGTGTCCACACCATGGCAGGGGGCACCTCTAAGCCACCTTGTGGCCCAGGGAGCCGGGGGTGGCAGGGGAGTCCTGCCCAGTGTGGGTCTAAGCCAGGCCCGCCCTACTCACACTAGGCTGGACAAGGAAGGGAAGACTGTGCTACAGGACGAACGCTTCTTCCCCTATACCAACGGGACCCTGGGCATCTGGGACCTCCAGGCCAATGACACTGGACACTACTTCTGCCAGGCTGCCAATGACCAAAACAATGTGACCATTGCGGCTAACCTGCAGGTCAAAGGTCAGATGACCTCCACCCCACTAGCTGATGTGATTAGCACTGCCTCCAGGAGGGAGGGTCAGGAGAAAACCATAGTGACCCTCCCTCCCCATCACTGTCCTCAGTTGCCACTCGGATCACACAGGGACCCCAGAGCGCAATTGAGAAGAAAGGTTCAAGAGTAACATTCGTGTGCCAGGCGTCCTTCGACCCCTCCTTGCAGCACAGCATCACTTGGCGTGGGGATGGTCACAACCTCCAGGAGCTTGGAGACAGTGACAAGTGAGGACCCAGCCCCAGCCTGGGCTCAGTGGGAGGGGGCAGAGTGGGAAAAGCAGAATGTCCAGACCTCCTGGCCTTTCCATGGGGGCAGTGCCCTTGCTTTGAGGGGGAAGGTTCTGGCAGGAGAGTGGGGGCTGGGGCGCAGAGCGCAGATGGTGGGAAATGCTTGGTCCACTGGGAGCAGAAGGACCAGTGTGCCCCGCTTCACCACCACCAGATACTTCATAGAGGACGGGCGCCTAGTCATCCACAGCTTGGATTATAGTGACCAGGGCAACTACAGCTGTGTAGCTGGTACTGAGCTGGACATGGTAGAGAGCAGAGCAGAGCTCCTGGTGGTGGGTGAGTCCTATGATGCTATTGGACTGGTGGCCTGGAGGCGTGGGGGGGCATAGGAACCTAGGGCCTTCTCTGGCTGGGAGGTGTGGTGGCTGGCATCATGAGTGGTCCAGAAAACCCACCTTCCATGGCCCTCAGGGAGCCCGGGGCCGGTGCCTCAGCTGGAGCTGTCTGATCGTCACCTGCTGAAGCAGAGTCAAGTGTACCTGTCCTGGAGCCCTGCTGACGACCACAACGCTCCCATAGAGAGTAAGAGGCCTGAGCACAGCACCACCCGCCACCCCTGCTAGCCTTCCCTTCTCTCGCGCCCTCCAGTGCTCCCAGGACCATGGCTTGGGCACTCCCTCGCTTCCTCGGAGACAGCCAGACTTGGAGCCCCACCTCCCCTCCCATGCCGTACACCAGTTTACTACATTGCTGGTTCACTTCTTGCCAGAGTATGACATTGAATTTGAGGACAAGGAGATGGCACCTGAGAAATGGTACAGTTTGGGCAAGGTGCCTGGGAACCAGACCTCCACCACCCTCAAGCTGTCACCCTACGTCCACTACACCTTTAGAGTCACTGCTATCAACAAATACGGCCCCGGGGAGCCAAGCCCGGCCTCTGAGACTGTGGTCACACCTGAGGCAGGTGAGCCACCTGGGACAGAGCCTTAGCCACAGTGGCCCCAGACTCTGCAAGCAAGGCTTGGAGAGATGACTGCCCAAGCTCCTCTGCTTCCAGGGCCAGTGGGGGCCAGGGGCCAGGGTTCCCTCGGCTGCCGGCTCCTGGCCATTCCTTTCTTCACAGCTTTGGCAGGAGCCCACAGCGTTGATATGTTAACCCGTTGCTTTCCAGCCCCGGAGAAGAACCCCGTGGACGTGAAGGGTGAAGGGAATGAGACCAGCAACATGGTCATCACTTGGAAGGTGACGGGCCCTGGGCTGAGCACGCCCCTGGACATCCGGCCAGGACCCAGATGCTGGCCGCTCCCTCTGGCTGTGCTAGGGACCCGAGGATGATGGGATGTGAGGCTGGGCTGTGGGCAGGTAACAGGAGGCGGGTGCTCTTGCCCAACAACCTCCTCTCTGCTCGCCCCCTCCAGGCGCTCAAGTGGATGGACTGGAATGCACCCCAGGTTCACTACCGCGTGCAGTGGCGCCCCCAGGGGACACGGGAGGCCTGGCAGGAACAGATCGTGAGCGACCCCTTCCTGGTGGTTTCCAACACGCCCACCTTTGTGCCCTATGAGATCAAGGTCCAGGCGGTCAACAGCCAAGGCAAGGGCCCTGAGCCCCAGGTCACCATTGGCTACTCTGGAGAAGACTGTGAGTATCGGGCTGGTTCCGCCCACACTTGGACGAAGCCTGCTGCGCATGCGTGGCCCGTCCCCTGCTCCCAACGCGCCCAGTCCCTACACTCCCAGGAGTGTGGTTTTTTAGGAATAAGGTCATTTTCTTAGGGGACCAAAGTGCCGTCGCGAAAGTCCAGAAACTTCCCATCCACACAGCATACTTACCTAGCTGGCAGCCAGTATTCCAACTGCATCGCTCAGTGCTGACTCTGCCCCCAGTCCAGGGCCCAGTCCGACATCCTGCATCAGGGCTAGTTGTCCTGCTTCTTCCCACCCCTTGACTCTGGAACCTTATTAGAGGTTAATTGCCATCACCCTGTCAAACCCTTTTCTGATACTCCTCTGTGTAGTTACTATTTTCTCCCTTGCAGCTAATAAACACTGCAAGGAGAGACCCTGAGACCATGCACTCACCCAGCTCATCAGACTGCCCACCCCCCATATAGCACCCAAATCCACCTTGCCCCTGTGGGAGGGTTCTGGGCTGGCCTCAGGATGCCACAGGCCCTCATCCATGTCACTGGCTATTTCCAGACCCCCAGGCAAGCCCTGAGCTAGAAGGCATCGAGATCCTCAACTCCAGTGCTGTGCTGGTCAAGTGGTGGCCTGTGGACACAGCGCAGGTCAAGGGCCACCTCCGGGGATACAATGTAAGGGTCCAAGGCCTAGGGGCTAAGGGGATCCCCAGGGTGAGGTGTGAGGTCACCAGGAGTGACAGCATTGGGGGTGGGCCTCTGCCAACTGCCCTCCCAGGGTCGTTGGGTTGGGGGAAAGGGCCCCTTGTGGACAACGGGAAACATGTGCCTGGAGGTCACTGCTGGACACCTGCTGTCCCTGTGGGGTGTCCTGCCCACCTACAGGTGACATACTGGTGGGAGGGCAGTCAGAGGAAGCACAGCAAGAGGCATGCCCACAGAGGCCATGTGGTGGTGCCTGCCAACACCACCAGAGCCATCCTTGGTGGCCTGCGGCCCTACAGCTCCTACCATCTAGAGGTGCAGGCCTTCAATGGCCGGGGACTAGGGCCCGCCAGCGAGATGACCTTCAGCACCCCAGAGGGAGGTGAGCCTTGCACCCCTCAACCCTGTCTCCACCCCACCTCCCCACCCCAGGGCAACCCTGGGCAAGCACCTGCCACTCTTTTCTATTCCCCACAGTGCCCAGCCACCCCGAGGCTTTGCACCTGGAGTGCCAGTCAGACACCAGCCTGCTGCTGCACTGGCAACCCCCACTCAGCCACAATGGCGTGCTCACTGGCTACGTGCTGTCCTATCATCCTCGTACGTGTGTCGTGGGCCCTGAGCCCCAGAACAGCCTGACCAGGAGGTGGAGGGGACTTGGAGGGTGGGCTGAGATAGCACCCAAGCGACTCCCCATCTGTCCTCACAGTGGATGATGGGGGCAAGGAACAGTTGTCCTTTGACCTTCCGGACCCTGAGCTGCGGATGCACAACCTGACCAACCTCAGCCCCCGCCTGCGGTACCGCTTCCAGCTGCAGGCCGCCACAAAGGAGGGCCCTGGCGAGGCCATCGTGCGGGAAGGAGGCACCATGGCCTTATCAGGTGAGCTGGAGGGGACTGAGGAAGCCCCAGCTGGCAGCCGGGCCCAGGAAGGTGGGCCTTGGGCTGTCTTGGGGTCCCACACCCTCCTCTCACTCCCTAGGGACCCCGGATTTTGGCAACATCTCAGCCATGGCCGGCGAGAACTACAGTGTGGTGTCCTGGGTCCCCAAGGAGGGCCGGTGCAACTTCGGGTTCCAGATCTGGTTCAAAGCCTTGGGGGGTGAGCATAAAAGGGGCCCTGGGCTGGGGCTAGGGGTGGTGTGGAGCCAGGGTGCTGCTGCACTCCCACTCACCCCTGCAGCCCTCTCACCCCTGCAGATGAGAAGATGGGTGCTCACCTCCCACCACAGTATGTCAGCTACAACCAGAGCTCCTACACGCAGTGGGACCTGCAACCCGACACCGACTACGAGATCCACCTGCTCAAGGAGAGGGTACTCCTGCACCAGATGGCTGTGAAGACCAACGGCACCGGTGAGGCTTCCCTCTGTCCCCAGCATGACCCGGGCTCATTTTGCTTCCTCCCGGAATCTGGGTGCCCCTTGGCCCATGGCACGGAAGTCCAGGCCCCCCGCAACGGCCCCTTTCAGTGCCCTAGGGCAAGCCTTTTCACAGAAAGGGCTCCCTGCCCTGCCCCGGGAGGTCCCTGAGACGTCAGCTCCAAGCACACCTCAGGCCCAGGTCGCCGCCTCCCCTGGCCCTCGCCCGCACAGCCCGGCCCTGGAGCTCCTTCCTGCGCTCTCCCCGCAGGCCGCGTGAGGCTCCCTCCTGCCAGCTTTGCCACCGAGGGCTGGTTCATCGGCTTCGTCAGCGCCGCCATTCTGTTGCTGCTCGTGCTGCTCCTCCTGTGCTTTATAAAGCGCAGCAAGGGCGGCAAGTACTCAGGTAAGCCCCGACCCTGGGCTCAGGTGCATGGGGAGAGCAGCCCTGGCAGGATGATGTGGGCGTGTGGTGGGTAGGCGGGGGGCCCGGAGGGAGCCTCTGTGCAGACTGGTGGCAGATGGCACCAGGCCCACAACGGGGGAGTGGCACACGCTTGAAGACTTCTTGGCTTCTGAGCACTGAGGTGCTCAGAGCCCAGGGGAGAACCTCTCCCATGGCCTCCACCTGGGAATGGGGCCCAGTGTCCAGGAACGGCCTGGGGTGGGAGAGGAAGCTGGGCCCTCTCTGTGTGTCTCCAGTGAAGGATAAGGAGGACACCCAGGTGGACTCCGAGGCCCGGCCGATGAAGGATGAGACCTTCGGCGAGTACAGGTGAGCTGGGGGTGGGAGCAGGGGCTGGCCGAATGCCTGGCACGACCCTCACTTTCATATCTGACCCTGTCTCTCTCTCTCCTCTGTGCTGCTGGGTGACATCAGGTCCCTGGAGAGGTAAGGCAGGGGTGGTGGGAAGATACTGTCAGGCCCTGCCACCCTCTCTGGTCTCTGCAAGGGCTGACAGCTGGGCAGGTGCGTCTGTCCAGCTCACCTACACTCAAGGAGCCAGGCCCTGTGGACCCCCCATGCTGAGTGCCCACTTGCTCTCTCACATCCCCAGGATCCTGGGCATGCCCACACTTGGCCCCTTCAGTGGTATGCATGCCACTTGCTGTCCCGATGTGTCAAGGTTGGAACCTCTTTCCCCAGTGCATTCAGAGCACATGGAGGGCAGGCAGGCAGATCCTGGGCCGCTGGGGCCCTGCCCCACCCCACCACCCCCTCCAGGCCTCTGCCCACAGGCCAGCCCCTGCCAGCTCCTGGGTTCTGCTGGGCAGCCTCCCACTCCCTCCTGCCCTTTGCTTCTACAGTGACAATGAGGAGAAGGCCTTTGGCAGCAGCCAGCCATCCCTCAATGGAGACATCAAGCCTTTGGGCAGTGATGACAGCCTGGCTGACTATGGGGGTAGCGTGGACGTCCAGTTCAACGAGGACGGCTCCTTCATCGGCCAGTACAGCGGGAAGAAGGAGAAGGAGGCAGCGGGAGGCAACGACAGCTCAGGGGCGGCCTCCCCCACCAACCCTGCAGGGGCCCTGGAGTAGTGGGGTCCAGTCAGGCAAGGCCAGGCAGGACACAGCCCAGGGCTGGGCCACAGGGGAGTCAAAGGCCCTTCCCTCTTCCCACCGGGCCATGGCCCCACCCTCTGGCCCTGGGTCCGAGGGAGTCTTGAATTGGGGGCAGAGGAGAGGAACTCAACTGCCCCTAATCCCCTCCTGACTACCTGGTCCCCACTTTATTGCCAAAACCCAGCTGCACCCCTTCTTGGGCACACACTGCTTTGTTCTAGCTCGGGAGCACATCAGCTGCACATCAGGTGCCACCTTGTCAGCCTTTGGGCAGAGAGAGGCCATGGCTGGGGTGGGGATAGCCCCAGAGGGGTCTCAGACGCCGCCTTGTAGGGTCTCCTCAGGACCAGGGTTGGTACCTCCGCCTCCAGCCACAACTTGGCCAGCCTGGCTGGGACTGCGGACAGAACTCAGTGTCCCCACCCTCTGGGCAGGCTGGCCACGGGTGCAGAGGAGGCCATCTGGAGGGCCCAGAGTCCCCACCTGCCAGCATCACTCTCCATCAGTGCCCCTCCTCCTGATGCCCGCCCCGCCCCATGGCTGGCTTTCAGGAGCTCCGTACACACGCTGCCTTTGGTACCCACCAGACAACATCCAAGTGGCCTCCGTCACTGCAGGGCGGGCACACCTCCTCCCCACTGCCTCTGGCCCAGCCTCCATGGCACCCCAGGGCCCCTCAGCAGTCCGGCCCACCCCCAGTCTGAACAGTTCCCTTCCTCAGCTTCTCCTGCCCCCACCTGGGAATGTAAATACACCGTGACTTTGAAAGTTTGTACCCTTGCCCTTTCCCCATATGCCACTAGTGTGTAGGCAGATGTCTGAGTCTCTAGGTGGTTTCTAGGTTTTATAGCAATTAGCTTTGATGATCCTATCCCAGGAAAAATAAAAACAGACAAAAAAAAGGGAAAAGGAAAGATTGGTTCTCCAGCTCTACTGTGCACCTGCTCAGCAGCCGAGGTCCCCTTTGCTTGGTCTGTTGACGAGCCCTTTACAAAAACCAAAAGCATATATATATGTACATAAACACCAGATTATAACAGGCAAATAAAAACCTGGAAACAACGAGGAACTGCTGCCCTTTTGCCGAGCACAGCCTACAGCCCCCCACCCCCATCCTATATACTGCAGTGGGTGCTGGAGCCAACTTCGCTGGGCAGCCCAAGGTAAAAAATTCAGGTCAAGCTGTACAACATTTGTGTTGTTGCAGAAAGCCCCTTCGTGCCTCTTAGATCGTCATCCACGTGGTTACATCAGTTCTTCCCTCCTGTTCATTGCTGAGTAGTAGCTGTTGTATGGATGCACCACAAATTGCTCATCCACTTTCCCATTGGTGGACATGTGGGTCATTGCTAGCTCTGGCTATTCGGGGCAAAGTGGATTCATGCAGTCCTTTCTCAGGGGACTTTGCCCGAGGAAGAGAGTGGATGTGCCAGGTACCAAGCTATTGTCTCCCAGGCCTCAAACCCCTTCGGCGTCCTCTGCTTTGTTATCTCAGGAGCGCAGACGCTGCAAACCGTACTCATGTTTGGCGGGCTGGCTCCTCCTTAGACTCTGCTAAAAGAAGGTGTTAGAGGGAGACTGCAGAGCTGGAGGAGGAAGAAAGGATGTGATCCTGCTCGTAAGCACCACCCAAGCAAGTCTCCGCCCAAGCAGCCAGCAGTGCCTTTCCATGGCACCAGCTGAATGCAGTTTTCAAATTCCACAGCACGTACACAAACGGCTTCATTCATCCCACCTCTGAGACACCAACACTGGGCAGCCAGTGCCCCCTCATCAGAGATCTGGGTCCCAGCCCCACTGGGCCCTCTCCTGAGCTCAGCAACCCCAGCACTAGGTAGGCCCTGGCCCACTGTTGAAGTTGCTAAGTTTGAGGAGTCGCAGCCCCTACCAGTTGTTCCCGCCTCAGGAGCTATATGAGTCCACAGGGGCTGCTGTCATAAAGGACTGCAAGCCAAAGGGCTTAAACAACAGAAATGTACTGTCTCCCAGTTCTGGAGGCCAGAGGTCCAGGAGGAAGGCGTCAGCAAGCTTGTGCTCCCTCTGAGGGTGCTAGGGAAGGGCCTGTCATTGGTTCTGCTTCTAGATTGGATCAAGACTAAGAAACATAACAAGAGTGTGTAATGAATCATGTCCCAAAAGAGGGGCTCTAGGGATTGGTTTGTTTGCGTCTTTGGCCTTGAAAGCACTGCTGAGTTTCAGGGCTCCACTCCTGCCCACCTACTGCCCTGTCTATCACATGAGAGATATGGAGAGGCTGGGAATTCAACTGACATTGGCATTCTGAGCCTGCCCAACTAAACTTTGTGCTTGATTTTCAGCAGTATCAGCCCTATGGCTTCAATAAGTAAGGTAATTTTTAGCGCTGCCATGGAAACTCTGGTGCTTTGCAAAGGAACACCAATTCTCCTCCAGACCCACTGCAGCCACTCCCTTTTGCCATCAGACCCGTAACTAGGGTCCAATCTCAGCATGCTCCAGGGGGCAGGCACATACTAAGACCCAGGAGGAAACAGCTTACACACCAAAAGAATAGCAAGGTTTTTGCTAGTAAATAGTGGCAAAAACCTGGGAGAATATACATGGGAGTGGATTCTAAGGATATTGCACCAAGGAGGATGGAATGTAGCACTGGGTTGAACACAATTTATTGAGCTGGGTGCATTTACCAGACATTCTATGTTTAATGTTAGCCCACGCAGCTGGAAGGGACTCTGACAGCCTACTTGATTAGTTGACTTAAATTTGAAGTCAACTGTGACCTAAATCCAATGATATCAAGATAACAGAATGACCCTGGCTTGATGGACAGGAATGAGCCCAAAGGTGTAATTCCTAGGAGGAACTGCAGAGATTAGTGCCTTGAACTTGAAAGTTGCAGTTGTGATGATAGCTCTCATATCCCCATTTGTCTACTGGACCCTGTGCAGAAGGTGGGTGGATCTTGGAGAATGACAGTGACTCCAATTTTGCCACTGGTGTCCCAGATGTAGTCTTTTGCTAAAGCAGTGCAACACAATGCCTGGCTCCAGGTATGCAGCCATTCCCCTGGCAAGTATTTTACTCTATTCCAATGTGGAAAGTCTGCTCGAAGCACTTTGTTTTTACCTGGCAGGGCCAACAGTACGCCTTCACAGTCTTGCCTAAGGGCTATGTCATCTCTCCTCCTCTCTGACAATACAATACTTGGAAACTTTGGTTGTCTCACTGTTCCTCACAATATCCACTGCTTCACTATGTTGATGACAACAACCTGATTGAATCTGAGGAGCAAGAAGCAGAAAGTACTATAGATGCCTTAGTAACACATATGCAAAGCAGAAAGTAGGAGATACGCCCCATGAAGATTTAGAGGAAGTACAGCCTCAGTGAAATTTCTAGAAGTTCAGTGCTCTAAGCCATGTAAACATATCCTCTTCAAGATGAAAGACAAATGCTGCACGTTGCACCAACTACCTCTAAAATTAATGTTTGGCAGACTCTTGTGGATTGTGAAATATGTATCACATATGAGTGTGCTACAATGACCCATTTACTATGTGACTCATAAGGCTGCCAAATGTGTGTGTGTGTGTGTGTGTGTGTTTGGTGGTGGGTTTCGGGGAAGACCAGAGCAAGAGATAACTGCAGTGAATCCAGTGCTTCCAGTTGGCCTTGTGACCCAGCAGATCCAATAAAACTCAAAGTATCTGTGGACAGTATTGATACCGTGTGGAGCTTCTGGCAAGCACAAATAGTGGAGTCACTGTGCAGACTTCTAGAGTGTTGTAGAAAACCATCCTCCTTTGGAGGAACAGATTCGGCTTGCTATTGGGCCCTGATGGAGACTGAATTCAGGACTACACATGACCATGTGACTTGACTTTTCCATCAGGAATTGGATGTTTGTCTAATCAATCAAACAGTCGGTTGAGCATATGCAGCAGCAGGTTTTAATGGATGGAAATGGGATTTTACAGCTAGAAGCTCAGGTGGTTTCAGAAAGCACAAAAACATTGCAAGAGTAAGTGGCACCAATTCCTGCCCCATAGCCTCCTCTCTCTCGACCTTGTCTATGGTTCCTGGAATTTTTTGTATGACCAGCTGACTGAGTTACTTCCTCATAACTCAAGCGTGGCTTCTATAGATGCCTCTGCCCAATCTGCCAGAAGTAGATGGCTGCAGCATTACAGCACCACTCATAGGTGACCCTAAGGCCAGTGGCAAAGAAAAACTCCAAGTGGGCAGAACCTTGAGCAGTACAACTGATTGTCCCTTCTTTTAAAAATATTTTTTCCAGCTTTGAGATATAATTGACATATACCACTGTGCAAGTTTAAGGTCTGCAGTGTGATGACTTGGTATGTGTATATTTGTGAAATGTTCACCACAGTAAGGTTAGTTACATCTTTCACTTCACAAGATTACTATTTTGTTGCTGTTATGGTGAGAACATTTACTCTCCACTCTTATAGCAGCTTTCAAGTTTACAATACAGTATTGTTCACTATGGTCCCCGTGCTGTGCATTAGATCCCCAGAACTTATTCATCTTTATAACTGGAGGTCTGTGCCCTTTGCCCAACATCTTCCCATTTGCCCCACCGCAAAGCCCCTGGCAACCACCATTCTACTCTGTTGCTGTGAGTTCTACGTTTTTAGATTCCACATATACATGAGATCATGCAGTATTTGTCTGTCTCCATCTGACTTATTTCACAAGGTCCATCCATGTTGTTGCAAAAGGCAGAATGTCCTCATTTTTATGGCTAAATAATATTCCTGTGTGTGTGTGTGTGTGTGTGTGTGTGTGTGTCTAATGTTTTCTTCATTCATCCTTTAGAAGACACTCAGGTTATTTCTATGCCTTGGCTATTGTAAATAATGCTGCAATGAACATGGGGGTGCAGGTATCTCTGTGACATAGTGGTTTCATTTCCTTAAGATATATACCTAGAAATGGAATTGCTGGCTCATATGGTAGTTCTATTTTTCACTTTTTGAGGCCCCTACTTATTGTTTTCCATAATGGCTGCACCAATTTACAATCCCACTAGGAGTGCACAAGGGCTCCCTTTTCTCCACAGCCTCGCCAGCTCTTGTTGTCTCTTGTCTTTTTCATAACAGCCATTCTGTCAGGTGTGAGGTGATAGCTCATTGTGGTTTTGATTTACATTTCCCTGGTGATTAGTGATGCTGAGCATTTGTTTATGTGTCTCTTGGCCATCTGTACATCTTCTTTGGAGAAATGCCTATTCAAGTCTTCTGCCCATATTTAGATTGGATTGTTTATTTGATATTGTGTTGAATGAGTTCTTTATATATTTTGGATATCAACCCCTTGTCAGGGTTTATGGCTTACAAATATTCTCTCCCATTTCATGGGTTGCTTTTTCATTGTATTGATTGTTTAGTTTGCTGTACAGAAGCTATTTAACTTGATGGAGTTGACTGCCCTTTCTGACTGGTTTGAGAGAAGGTCAGAAGAATGAATCTACATTGATTCACAGTAAAATGCTAATGATTTGGTTGAATGGTTATGACTTGGAAAAAATGAGGTTGGAATTTTGGTGACAAAGGTTTGAGAAAGAGGAATGTGGACAGCCCTCTGAGAAGGACGTCTGTTGCAGAGATACTCTCAATATCCAGGTGAATGAAATTATATAATCTGTGGATGCCAGCCAGTCTCTTTCCCAACCAGCCCAGTGCTTGCTCAATGGGCCTGAACAGTGGGTGGGTTATGCGTGTGCTCAGCAATGTAAACATCCCCTCACCAAGGCTGACCTGGCCCTTACTGCTGCTCAGGGCCTAATCCCGCACTTCGCCAGACATTGTGCCGCTCCTCTGGCGGAGACAACACCCTGAAAGGTGTGCCCCTGAGGGATTCAGACACTTCAGAAGTGAAAGTGTGAGAAACTCCGCCAGATACAGAACCCTAGCCCACCAAGGTACCAGCTGAGGGCAAGAGACATATGGAAAAGATAGTAGAAGAGGGAGTTATAAAAATCAATTTCGCACTCCCGACCAGTTATAGGACTGAGTGGTATAGCCATGTAAAACTTTACATCTCTCTCTATAAAATGTATA